CTAACTGTTATGATTTCGTTCGCAGCCTTCTTGCCTTAAATTTCTTGTAAAATTTGTTTGCATCTCCCTATTTTCCCATGAGCGTTACTTTAGTGTGTCTGCAGGAAGCTGAAACTTCTGGAAAACACGGACAGCAATCTGTGCCGAGCAACGAGCGAGCGTACTTATCGACTCACTGCGAAATTGTGTCCACCCCCAGAGGATCCCTCTTTCACACTCTGTTCGGCGTTTTCGAAATCTGTTTGGCAAAAAGATTACTGGCAGAAACAAGGGGCGATTGATGTATGGATGAAATTCTATGAAAGAGGAGAGACCAGGGAAGAGGTTCGTCCTGCTTCCCGTTATGTGCGAAGTATTCATGGGACTTGCATGTCGAGCTTGCAGTTCTAATCATCCTTGGACAGCATCTAACTCATTTCTTTTACACACAGAAAACCTTCCACTGGATGCGTTGCAAAGCATCTGATTCAACATCCACAGTACCTTCCATAAAAACAGCACTCTCCAAATCATTGGCGGCGCGCACCAGGTGGGCCAGTGTAGTCATACATTTTTGCAATATTTCGTGCTGTAATGAGATCGCTCGGGACCCAGTAGATAGAAATGTGTGATATACTGGTCCTCAAAATCCGGGAAACTACTAGTCCACGCAGCATTTGGACAGGGAATATTCCGCTAAAATTTCAGCTTTCCAAACTTTCTGGTTCTTGAGCTAGCAACTTCCCTGCTAAAAATTTTCACGGGGCTGTACGTGAATAACACACACGATGTAAGCTGTACATGTGCTTGGAACATTCCCTAAAAATTTCAGCTCTTCAGCTGTTCTGATCCCCGAGTTGACCGTTTTCCCGCCAAAAAAATTTTACGAAACCGTACGTGTGAACCATGCACGCCCGAAGGGCTGATTTTGGTAATTTTAAGTAGTACTTGTACTAGGAATATTCCCTGAAGATTTCAGCTCCCCAGCTTTCCTGGTCCCCGAGCCAGCTATTTTCGCGCCAAGAACTCTCACGGGGCCATATGCGGGGAACACGTACAAATTTTCGAATTCTATGTGGGCAGGGAACAAAACCTCAAAATTTCAACTTTCTATCTTTTTCGGTTCCTGAGTTGGCGATTTTCCTGCCAAAACTTTCACCCTCTTGTACGAGAGGCCAGAACTTGCGTAACGGTTGGTGCGCGGTCCTGTGTGTCACTTGACCAGGGAAGCCACTGACGAAATTTTGGCACTGGAACTTAATTGCATGCCGAGTTAAAATACCCGGACAGACGCACACACACATACCCACACATCGGGGTCGTCGCAACACTCGTTTTTGCATTTGCATGTAAGCAAAAACGCATAAAAAGCGATCTTCATGCAAATTCATTTAAGATGGAAAAGGAATTCTTTGCGCAACTGAATAATCCGCTGCTGGGAAAAGCATTCAAGCTAGCAATGATTGGCGAGTGGCTTGCCGCTAACAGTATTGAGGTAAGTATCGTAATTTGTCCATATCACTGACGCGCCACTTGCTTTCATATATAGTTGAGAGAGATGACATCGCTGCACTGCGGTTTCGCGCCCTGTGATTTGGTAGGAACTCAGGTCAGTATCCCTTTTTACGATATTTCAAGACACGATTTCGCTAAAAAAATAATGTTTTAAAACACGGCAAAACATTCAAATGCGGCAGTCTTTGT